CCCATAACCGGTTGGTTCGGCCGAGTTGACTGTCACCTGTTCGGCGTGATTGTCAACTGGATGCTCGAAACAATCGGCTTTAACACCCATTTTTTTGGGACATTTGTCCGAGGTGAGCTCATTCATTTCAGGTCCTTTCGACTGTTCCATTTGGTTCTGGTTTGAAGTGTGCTTTTTCGTGAAATCCACCTCTTCCGTCGTCTCGCCCAACGGACAGCTGATTGACAAATCTGTCCGATCGTGTCTACCGTCAACTTCATATTGTTCTTGTGATGTTGTCTGCCGACAGTCGGTGGCACGATGTGACATTTGGGTCAAATCCAATTCTTCCACATTAGCCAAAGTCGACGGGTAGGACGCTCTGATGATCGACTCCATTTCCAGCATGTTGGTCGTTCTCGAGCTGATCAACGAGTCATCAAACTGCCTTCGACCGGCACTCTTTTCCCCTTTCCAATTGTCCACCGTGCGATAGTGCACTGTTGCCGTGGAGCTGTACGCCCCGTTGCTAGGCGACATGCAACCCAACCAATTGTCGCTATTGTCACGAGTTGACGCTGCCGTCTTTTCATCGAACATTTCAACGCACATCACCGAGTCGGTTGTCAGATTGGTGATGGGAAAGTGGACATCACACATCATCTCATTGCACCACATGGCAACCGATTGTTCACATGTTGCATCATGTGTTGAAGGATAATTTGCAAATTGATGATTGTCGATGGTCGATTGTTGATTCGGCGATGAGATCGCCTCGACAGGACAACAAGTGACTCGAGTCAAATGTCTACTGTTGCCACGTCCCGACAGACTTGGCGGTGAACTTGGCTGTAACGTGGAAGAGTCGACGGGCGGAGGAGATTGTACATCTTTCGAATTGGTACCGAAAATGGCGTCCATTTGAGGCTGGAGATAGAGATGAAGTGGTTGAACACCTTCCACATCGAGATCGTCCAAATCGATGCTCAACACTGTATCCATGCCGGGCGGTAGACTGACGTCCACATCGAGATCATACACAATGTCGACGATATTTTCGAGATCTCGATCTGACGGCAGCATCGATACACGTGACAATTCATCTACCGAAAAGCCGCCAGTTTTGCCGCAATCGGTGACCACGTCACAGACACCATCGGCCGACTGACGTCTTGTCAACATGTTGGGCAAATGGATTTGGCTTCTCGGTCGCAGACAGGCCATTGGCGAATCCGATTGTGGTACCAATTTGGCCACCGTAGTCGGTGAAGCTGACCTCTCCGCAGAAAGATTCACCAAAATCGGAGTTTGGGCCACGTCGAAACTGACAAGAATGTTATTCTTTTCCAGTTCAGAGTTGAAATGTTGCGTGATTTTCGGTGAAATATCCGATTTTTGCCCAGTTTCCGGCTTGGCATCACCAACAATTTGCATTTTATCCCGCGGCAACTCTCGTTTCTCGGTAGAACCAACGCTGGAATTTGGGCTTTTCACATAATCCGGCGAAAAATGTGATTCTTGTTGAAGTGGAGATTTTGCATAATCTGTTTTTTTTTCTTCTACAACTTTATCAAATGGCAACATATGCTTCGAATCCGTCGACTGGTTCACCGAAATCGGAGCCTGTGTAACGTCCAATCTACCAAGATCGTTATCCTTTTCCATTTCAGAGTTGAAATATTGTGTATTTTTGGGCGAAATATCAGATTTTTGCCCATTTTCTGCCTTACCATCACCAACAATTTCCATTTTATCCCGTGGCAAATCTCGTTTCTCTGTGGAACCGGTGCTGGAAATCGGGCTTTTCACATAATCCGGCGAAAAATGTGATTCTTTTTGATCAACGCTACCCTCTTTAAGTCGAGATTGTGCATAATCTGTTTTTTTTTCTTCTACAATTTCATCAAATGGCAACATATGCTTCGAATCCGTCGATTGGTTCACCAAAATCGGAGCTTCTGTAACCTCCAATCTGCCAAGATCGTTATCCTTTTCCATTTCTGAGTTGAAATGTTGCGTTATTTTGGGTGAAATATCCAATTTTTGCCCAGTTTCCACCTTGGCATCACCAACAATTTCCATTTTATCCAGTGGCAACTCTCGTTTCTCTGTAGAACCGGTGCTGGAACTTTGGCTTTTCCCATAATCCGGCGAAAAATGTGATTCTTTTTTATCAACGGTACCCTCTTTATGTGGAGATTTTGCAGAATCTGTTTTTTTTTCTTCTACAACTAATCTGCCAAGATCGTCATTTTTTTCCATTTCAGAGTTGAAATATTGTGTATCTTTTGGTGAAATATCAGATTTTTGCCCATTTTCCGCCTGACCATCAACAACAATTTCCATTTTATCCCGTGGCAAATCTCGTTTCTCTGTGGAACCGGTGCTGGAACTTTGGCTTTTCACATGATCCGGCGAAAGATGTGATTGTTTTTGATCAACGGTACCCTCTTTAAGTGGAGATTGTGCAGAATCTGTTTGTTTTTCTTCTACAACTTGATCAAATGACAACATATTCTTCGAATCCGTCGGCTGTTTGACCGAAATCGGAGACCGTGCAACGTCCAAACTGACAAGCACGTTATTCTTTTCCATATCAGAGTTGAAATATTGCGTTATTTTGGGAGAATCATCCGATTTTTGCCCAATTTCCGCCTTACCATCACCAACAATTTCCATTTTATCCCGTGGCAACTCTCGTTTCTCTGTAGAACCAACGCTGGAATTTGGGCTTTTCACAACTTTTGGCGAAAAATGTGATTCTTTTTGATCAGCGCTACCCTCTTCATGTCGAGATTGTGCAGAATCTGTTTTTTTTTCTTCTACAACTTTATCAAATGGCTGGTTGATCGAAATCGGAGCCTGTTCAACGTCCAATCTGCCGAGATGGTTGTCCTTTTCCATTTCAGAGTTGAAATATTGCGTATTTTTCGGTGAAATATCCGATTTTTGCCCAATTTCAACCTTTTTATCACGAATAATTTCTATTTTATCCCGTGGCAACTGTCGTTTCTCTGTGGAACTTGTGCTGGAAATTGTGTTTTTCGCATACTTTGACGAAAATTGCCCATCTTTTGTGCTTAAACTGCCCTCTTTAATTGGACAATATGAATTATCTTTCTTTGTTGGTTCCACAACATGATTAATTGTACATTTTTCTTCCGACCCCTCCGTCTCCCAGTGTCCAGCTATTGCACTAACCTTAATTTGAAATGGTGCCATCTTGCCACGCGGTTTTCGATTGTTCAAAACACATTGACCCTCAGCATTGACCGATTGACCATTTTGCACCGGTTCAGGACCTTCATATTCCAACAGAGTGACAACATTCAAGCTGACTTCCAACGTCGGTCGAATTGTACGGCATTGTTTGACAAACGCCGAGCCAAATTGACGCTCACCGACCAACGTCAAGTGGGGAAATGTGAGTTTCGACGAAAAGCAATTATCTGAGACACTTTCCACTCTCACATTGTCCATAGGAATGGACATCCAATTGGTGATTGGTGAATCCATGAGTCGTGGTCTTGACAACATTTCACAAATTCCCTCAAATGGACTGACCGGACGAGTTGGATTGACGACAACTTGAAGACTCAACGAAGATCCACCGCCAGTCGATGGTATCTCGTCCGACGTGACACTTATCTCTTTTCTCGTATCGACAACCACATTTTTCCAATTTTTCCCATTTTTCCCATTTTTCCCATTTTTCCCATTTTCCACATTTCTCCCATTTTTCCCATTTTTCCCACTTTGCACCGTCTCCACCTCGGCTTCCACATCAAACGGTGCTTGTATTTTGGTAGAATCGTCTTTGTAAATGCACTTTTTTCGCCATGACCACGAGTGATTATCACTTGGACTGAGTGTCAACTCGTTGGCATCGAATGGGTCTGCATTCTCAATGTTCACGTCCAAATTCAACGTATTGTCCGGATCACTATTCTTGGTCACGTTCACATTCGCCAACAGATCCGACTCTCCGCCACGATCATGCGAACAGCTGTGCGATCGCAGTACCGGTTCCGTGATCGTGTTGTCCATGTTGACGTCGTTGACGCTCATAATCGGTACCATCGCGGGAAGTCGGGCGAAGTCCTCCTCTTGCAGGCTGCGCGTCAAACTGCTGGTTTTTTGTGTCAACGGTTGACTTGACGCCACGGTCCGGTTGGCATTCAGTGCACTTTTGCAGCGATTCTGCTCAAAACTCGCTTTCTGTTGACATTTGCTCGACTTCGAAGTGTCGTGCGGTGGTTCGTGATGCTCCGCTCGAGCCGACATTTTGCCGGTCAACAGCGGTGAAGACCATTTTGGCGGTTTCAGACGATCCGTCTCATCAATCCACGCCTCCGAAGAGGAGGGATGGATTGGCGGTGAACTGAATGTTTCGGTGGAATCGTGAATTGATCGTGTAACAATCAATCTCGGCAAAGATCCACCATTCACGCCATCTTCTGCTCCTCCAACTGCCCAGTCGTCAGGACGTTTACGATCTCGGCCATGGTGACCGGTTTCCGAAAAATTGGTTCTCGTCTGAGAGATTGACAATTCGGAACTCGGATCGAGTTGTTGATCAGAAATGTGATCAACTGGCAAATCTGTATCTGTTTGTAAATGTGATGTAGACTTTTTTTTGCCATCATTTAAAGTTGACTTTAACACACTTTTGGTACCAACATACTCGTCGAGTGGGGTCAATGCGATCTGAGCCGAAAGACAGCTGATCTGAGGATCTACACGCAATGCTACCGCTTTCATGAATGGACACTTTTCGCCCAAATATGACTCACAATTGTCAATTCGAATGTGGTGTTTCCTGGGAA